ATATGGGGGTGTTGTGTCTTACTCCCCAGTCCTGCACCCCACCCTTGTCACCTTCCTAAGGAGTAGGACCCATGTCTGAACACTGCAACTCACCCCAGCCAGCAGTCCAGCACCCTCTGTTTCTCAGATCTCCACAGAGAGCTGATACACTGCTCAGAATACCCAGAATCTGGCAAAATGGCATATTAAACAGACTCTTCCTGCCTTAATAACTGATACTAGAGTAGAAATGAAGCACTCAGAGATGGAAGTCACAAAGGAACTGGCTGAGAACTAGACCCACTTCCTCTGAAATGTCTGACCTTCAGAGAGTCAGAGGTCTCCAAAGGAGAAAACGGGAATGAAGGACTCACAATGTTTTTCGATGGAAATGTTTCCATGCTGCCACCACACATGGGGCTCCCCCAAAACCACACTGAGAGTTCAAACTGTCCTGCAAGTGAAAGCTCATGAGACAAGGCTTGACTCCCACCAGAGAATGCCAGAGCTGCCTATGGCCTAGGGATGTAGGTGACATCAGGCTGGACCTGCACACCCATGAGCCTTTCCTATGGATAAGCTGAAGCAACACGGGAGAAAGACTCTGTGGAGAGTATCAGGTTTTGCCAACAAGGCACTCCTTGCCTAGGCCAATTCTGACTTGGGGTCCATCTACTCCACCCTTGCCCTGAGTAAATAAAAGCACATCTACCACCATGTCCAGTGTTTCTGCACCATGCAGAAGTGAAGGCATTTGGGACTGCATCAGTCTAATCAGTCAATCTCTTTCTATGTTTCCCAATATTTATGTAGGAAATTTAAAAAAATTTGTTTTCATTTTTGTTTCAATTTCTTTTTGCTCAAAGTTCATTTATATATCTACTTCATGAGAGAAGGAGAAGCACCATCAACAGGGTCTCATGACGCAAGCCCCCACTGCAACCCTTGAGCCAGCCAGGATCAAGGGCATACATGCTTGGCACAAATCAACCTAGGAACTGAATCCTGATCTTCTGTATGGCCTCCAGCATCATAGAGTACTGCACTCTGCTGTGTCACCACCACAGCTAGGTCCGTTTCAATTTTTGGCAACACTCTTTATTCTTTGTCTTTGGAAATTAGTCCCTAGGCAAAATGGTCAACACAGGGAAATCTCAGGTCTAAGCTGAATGAGAAGCACACTCCAAAGACACCAGAGCTGCAAGTTTGCTCTTTTTGCTCTGTAGGGAA